CCAGAACAAATTGAAATTATAACAATTAGTAAATCTGATAAATGACAGAGCAATTCATCACATCAAATATACTCTTTAATGCAGTATTACAAATATAGCTAACCAAAAATATAACAAATTGCTCCAAACAGTTTCAAACAAATCTTTAAAAATTGCATTTTGAATGCGTTTTCTAGACGAATGATTTATTGTGTGGTGGGACATTGAGAACAAATGGACAGATTAGAGTGCACCACCTCTTCCACTGTCTCCTCCTCTAATCTGGCAACCTTTTTAGGGGGCTTACCCTTTGGTGCCCAAAATGACAAAATATCTTTCTGCTTTTTTCCTGACATCTTTGAAAAATACAAATGCAACATTATGACAATGATTAAATATTACCCAGAGCAATCTGCTGTAATACATCCTTAATGTAACTAGAATATTACAGTATAATCTAATTTAAAATAAAATGAGTAAATCTTCATTCCTTTCCATACCCACTAACATTTCTCTTAGTTTCAGATAACGTAAGATAGCCAAACTGAGCCTGGTTGCAAAGTAGTTGTAGAGTTTTTGACTGCATCAATAATAATGTACGATGGGCTATATAAATTTAATGTTCTAGCCTAAAAATGTTAGACAAGCTTCTTCCATCTTACCTTCTTCTCCATCACGACACATGTGTTCGCGCGATGTTGTTGGTTACCTAGTAACGAACGTACGGTGGCCGAGGATGTTCCGTCCATTTCCGTGTGTTCGCGCTACTGAATGACATGTCATGTATAGATCAGTGGTGCACGCAGCGCGCGTATATGTTGCCTAGTAACGAACGCAATCTGGCGGAGATACGCGTTGGCGGCAGGAAACTTCACTTTGTTTGCCTGCGCCTCGTATACAACGTTAGAAAGCTTTCAGCCAGGACAACTTGGTTGGCATTGCCTTTTCAGGGTGAGAAATACACAGTGTGGCGTGTGAACCGGTCGAAATGCGTGTGTCTCACGGCCAATGCGTGAGACTTGAGAACCCTGCACGATACACTAATCGATTCTTGAGATTTAAGAATCGATATCGGTTTGTAAAAATGAGAATCGATTAATATCGAGAAATCGATATTTATTACCCAGCCCTAATAATAATTTTCTTGAAGATATTTGTTTTGGCCTGAAAGGAGTTGAAAGTTTGCATTTATTTGACCAAATATGGAGTAAAGAGTAAAACTATAAACTATTATTCCAGTGTAAATCATCTGTTTTCTATATAGCAAAGTGTAATTTACTCCTGTGATCAAAGTCCAGCATCATTACTCCAGTCTTCGGTGTCACATGATCCTTCACAAATCACTCTAATATGATGATCTGATGATCAAGAAACAGTGTAATGTATGTTTTTTCTTCATCATATCCCAGTAATATTGTATTAGTGCTGATTCCAGCTGTCTTGTTACTGGTGAAGTGTGCTATTTCTGCAACAAAATTACAATTTTGAAGAGCCAGACCGGGTTGAAAATAACATTTTGAGATTGGGGTGTGATTATCTGTTTGTCCCAACAATGGAAGACAGGTCTGGTGACGTGGAAATCACACAGTTCACCTGTAGAACCACACATCTCCTCCCCCGCCTGCTTTAAAGCTGCAGTGTGTAATTTCTAGCGCATCTAGTGGTGAGGTTGTGAATTGCACCCAACAGAAGTTACGGTGGCTGACAGGAAGTGATGTCGTCTGAGACAGCAGAGAGTCGCCAGTTGAGGTTTCTTTACAAAGATAAATTAAGAAATTAGGTTTCCATAATTCAGTAAAAAATGTTATTCCGACTATTATTGTAATGTGTTCATCATTGTGTCAGTGTTTTATTCACTGACTTGAAAAACAACATTAGTGACGAAACACGTTTGTCCCTTTAGGGCCACCGTAGAAACATGTTGATGTAAGGCGATTCGCGGTGTGTGTGTAGAGAGAAATGGCTCGTTCTAAGCTAATAAACACATAACGGTTCATTAAGTGAGGTCTTCATACACTACTTAAAGGGTTAGTTCACCCAAAAATGAAAATTCTGTCAGTATTTACTCACCCTCATGTTGTTCCAACCCCGTAAGACCTTCGTTCATCTTCGCAACACAAATTAAGATATTTAAGATATTAAGATCACTCCTGCATACTAGTCCATAGGCTTCTTGAGGGAATGACACTTGCTGTCCCCGAAAAGTAATTAAAGACATCGTTAAAATAGTCCAAGTGACTACAGGGGCTCAATCTTAACTTTATCAAACGACGAGAACACTTTTGTGCGCAAAAACAAACAAAAATAACAACTTTATTTCAACTATTCGTTTATTTCTCCCTCTGCCTCGAGTCAGGTTACTAGTTTAATAGCGTAAGCTTCTGTTATTGTACGTCACACGCATCACACACATGACCAGCGTCGGCCAATAGTGAGCCTACGTGTGACTTAGCTCTACGCAATCACACTACGTTAACTGACTACAGGCCCATGGAGAAGGAAGTGAATAGTTGAAATAAAGTCGTTATTTTTGTTTATTTTTGCGCACAAAAGTATTCTCGTCGTTTGATAAACTTAAGATTGAGCCCCTGTAGTCACTTGGACTATTTTAACAATGTCTTTAATTACTTTTGGAGGCCAGCAAGTGTCATTCCCTCAAGAAGCCTATGGACTGTATGCAGGAGTGATCTTAATATCTTAAATATCTTCATTTGTGTTGCGAAGATGAACGAAGGTCTTACGGGGTTGGAACAACATGAGGGTGAGTAAATACTGACAGAATTTTCATTTTTGGGTGAACTAACCCTTTAAAGCTGGGGTAAGTAACTTTTATAAAAAATATTTTTTACATATTTGTTAAAACTGTCATTATGTCCTGACAGTAGAATATGAGACAGATAATCTGTGAAAAAATCAAGCTCCTCTGGCTCCTCCCAGTGGTCCTATTGCCATTTGCAGAAACACAACGCTCCCGTCAGAGACAACCCAATCAGAGCCAGGAGGAGTGTCTTAGCAGTGTCAATCACACTCGTGTACGCGCTGATGTACGGAGAAGTACCCTAAACTGCCAATTCTCGAGGGACACCTGCTCATAAAACAGAGAGGTAAAGGGGAAAAGGCCGATGACGATAAACAATCTTGTCTAATTTGTCAGCCCATTGTAGCCGCAAACATGTTGATAAAATGTCTGCTGCTAAGCAACAATTGAAACCTGCTAATTCACTGGCTTGACATGTTGCTGAAATAATGTACTAGCACACCTTATCTAGCGTTATATATCGACATTATATATTAACGTTATCTTACTAGCTATTTATAACTTATAGAAAGAGTACAACATAAAGTTACATGTATTGCAAAATACATAAGGATTTGAGGACCAAGTTTGTAGTCAAAGTATGGGCAGGCCATAGTCAATGTAAAGCATATTGTTGACGTTTAGTCCCTATCAGTGAATGTGCCATAACTGTTTATCCACCGTCATTGGTGGCCCTGTTTACTGTTCACGACCGGCTCTGCTGTGGGGGACGAGCTGTGGAGGGAGGGCTGTAGCACAGCAGAGCAGAGAGCAAATTTTCAGACTAAAGGCCCTTTCACACCGGATGCGTAACGGAAAAGCGAAACGAAAAAGCGAATAGTTCGCGTGAGAATATTTCGCGTCAAAACCATTCACATCAGCCGCGACGCGAATTTGCGACGTTCAGAACTTCAACATTCCAAAACATTCGCGCCGATGAAAGCAGACCTGATTTTCATCAGAAAACGTAGGCTACTCTATACTTATTATTATAGCCTATAGGTGAATAAATATAGATTTTATATTAGATGTCTTTTTGAAGTGATGTTAACATGATGCTTTAATAGGCTTAATAAAAAAAAAAAAATCCCAATCTCTAAATAGCACATTTTCAAATAAGCACATAAGTCCATTAGGAAAGATAAAGATGAATGCGTTCTTACCGGATTCGATCAGTGCATTTTGAATTTATATTGTTTGTCTGATGATCTGGCAGCTTCGATTGGACCTTCTTTTTAATTATGTGCATGTCAGTAACTCGCAGTAACTACTGGCAGGTGGAGCTCACTTTCACCAGTTCACTTTAGGTCCACAGTTGCCTCGTTTCTTGTCCACGCAGCATTCATCAGAGCAAACACTCTCTCCACGAAGAGTTTGTTTGTTTGTGATGGCTCCATTAACGTCTGTGCTGTGCATTTTCTATGTTTTCTTATTACATTTTTTTAAATTGTAGAATTGTTATTTAAAGGACGATTAAATAAAAGGATGCAGACAAAAAAAATGCGGTACAGTGCTATGACTTGCGGGACGTGGCACATAGCTTCTTCATCACTATCATTATCATCCAGTGAAGACAAGCTTTTTATTTTATTTAAAAGCAGAAAAGAAGGTTTGGGGCACCCACTACCGGAGCTAGAAACATATGGCAGAAGGTGAGCTGTCCCATTCATCAGGGGCTACGTTTACATGCAATCAAATAAACACTTTTAGTAAACGTATTGAAGGCTCAAATGGACTGAAAAGCCTTGTAAACACCCGGTTGGGCTCGATACGAACGAACGAGCACAACGTCCCACCAGTCCTTGTTTCAGATTCATTCACAGACTCGACACACAAGCAATCAGAAGGTCCGTCCGTCATTGCTGCGGTCACGTCACCTTTGTTTCCCTGTATATGATTGGCTGAAGCCTTTTCTTTCGCCTCAAAAATCGACATCGAAGCGAAAAAAATAAAAGTCGTTTTTTCGCCGCAGCAGATTCGCGTTCGGTGTGGAAGCACTCATTACACAAACAGCTGATCAAAAAATAAAACCATCGCGCGAATTATTCGCGCGTCAAAATCGCGTTCAGTGTGAAAGGGCCTTTAGTCAACGTTTTCTCAAAACTCCCTACAGCAGCTTTAACACACAGTTGTGTATATGATATTGCATTTCTGTAACAGATCCTCCTGTATATCCCTGTATATCCCACAATGCACATGTTAAAGTGTCCTCTGTTGTGTCCAGTGATCGGGGACAGTCTGAAGGTTTCTCCCGCCATCCCCAAGTCCGCGGTGTCCGAGGGAGAACCCCTGGAGCTTCAGTGCAACGTGACGCGAGGCTTCACAGAGCACAACTTCCTCTCCGTGTCCTGGTCCCTCAGGAGAGGCGGCACCGGCCCGCTCGAGGACATCCTGACCTTCGGGCCGGATGATAAGATCAGTGTCGGCAGCAACTACACGCAGCGCTACACAGACGGGGGGCTGCGCTTGGACTTTCGAGGAGGGGGGTTTTACGGACTAGTCCTGAAGAGAGCGAAGCCGTCAGACCAAGGGCAGTATGTGTGTGCGGCCCAGGAGTGGGTGAGGCAGGGGGAAGAGGGAAGAAGATGGAGGAAGATCCTGGAGAAGTCCGAGGACATGGGGAAGGTCGTGGTTACGCCCACAGGTGAGTCCCGGCTCTCTCTCTTCTCAGGCTGTACTGGATATTGTGACTGCGATCATGGGAATTGATCAGTGAAACATTGGGAAGCTGATGAATCCTGAATAGGGCTGGGTACCGAGTTCGGTACTTTTTAGGTACCGACTGTATTGTCTCGGTACTACCAAGTATCGAAAGATCTCTTGTTTTTCGGTACCAAATTTCGGTACCTAAGTGGTTAAACTTTAGCATTGGTGCTTTTTTACATACTCGAAATATGGGTGTGAAATAGTCAACAAACTGAAAAATAAAATACAAATTTAGGTTATATTATTAAAACTGGTTACATAAAATTGGTATCGAAAAAGGTATCGTTCAGGTACCGGTATCGGTTCAAGGTATCGTATCGAATATTTTGTTCAAGGTATCGGTATCGAACATTTTGTTACGAGACCCAGCCTTAGTCCTGATCCTTGACATGATTGTGAGATTATGCGTTAAAATGAAGCTGGTATTATGCCATATGAGTAATGTGCAGTGCTATTATGAAATATGATTTGTTCTCCATTTTTGATGACTTGAGATAAAGATGTGACAACATTTCCAGAAAGAAATAGCAAAAAAAAATTAAGTGGCCTTGGTCCTTAAAGTCCACCTGTAGTTCATAACTTATCCCTTTAAAACTCCTCTTTGATCACCAAAGTGACAATATTTAAATGTTTTTTTTTTTTCTTAATGTCTTAAAATATTTTGACTGTAACTCGACACCCTTGTCTCATTCAGTATGCTCGGTCTATGAATATGCAAATGAGCCCCGCCTCCACTCAGAGATCCACTGGTTGTCGATCACACGTTGATCTGATTGGTTACAATGTGGTTTGTGACGTCAGAAATAGAGTGAGAGTCAGAAATGAGAGTGTGCGACTGAATTTTACATCCAGTCAAACATGAGCGACCAGTAAATTTGCCACACGTTAAACGCATGGTAAATCGTGGAAGGGGCGCGTCAATGAATCCGTGACAAGAATAGCGCGCGTAAACGTCCATGGGAAGGAGACGGAGACAAATATCACAACCTGACGTGCGTCTGAGCAATCAGCGATCTATCGACTGTTAGTCGTTACCTAGCAGCGAATGCAAACAAAATGAAAGTGGAACGAAAATACGCCACTTGTAGGCTATATGATTAGGACCGTGGAGCAGCAGCAGCGATCCGAACCATTGACGGTAAAATAAAGCCCCGAACTTGCCAGTCGCGGGCCGATCTCGCTCACGCAACTACTGTTACTAGGAGATCCAGTGAATAAATCCATTGAATTCGCCTCAGAATTAATAACACGAGATCCAGTGAGAAACACTCCGATTCGGCGCAGAGTTCTGTTATAAACCATATCAGATCAAACAGCGCTGACGTGGAAACCAATGTGTATAAGTCCACACTCAAGAGTGTTAAAGTTAATGAGATAATTAAGTGATTAAATGAGTGATGATTGAGCATTATTGAAGACACCTAAAGCAGAATCAGAAGAAAAAAAGTCTAAAATTTTAAGCCACCGTTATGGAGATCAGTGTTTGCTTTAGTTGGGGTCTTGACCCTTATAATATATATTTTATATTGTAATTTGCTTTTGCATGTGAGTTATATCTGTCAGATGAACAAAAATAAACAATAATGAACTGATGTTGGTCATATAATGACTTTCATCATTTGATATGTATGTCTATAATTTATTCTGTTGGTTAGTGTATAACTGGGATTCTGCAGAAATGTCCAGAATGTTAAATATAATAGACTGATTTCTCAAAAGTTGTTGGGCACACACAGACCTCAAGATTCAGTCAATGCTTCTCAACAACGGTGACGAGTAGAATATTCAAGTAGGAAAAGTAAATTACACAGACTAGGGCTGGGCAATATATCGCACTATATTGTTATGCGCATCTAATCAGTAAAGCCGTGTCCTTGATTATTCAGATCATAATTTATTCAAACCGCAACGCATGATGGGAGCCATTAATGAGTTGTGATTGGTGGCAACAAGGATTAATTTTGTCACCACAAGTGAGATACACAGGCTGATTATTGATCTCTGTGTTTCTAAATAAAGATGAGAGCGATTTGATCAGAATATATATTAAAAATTTTAAGTTTAAGAAAAATACAGATGTCCAATTCAACCACAAAACTGTTGCTAATAAATTAAAGCAAATCACCCAAATAGTATTCATTTTTCAGATCAAACATGATTATGTCTAAACAGATCACAGATGTCTTATTTGGCTGCTATAAATCAATAGCAGGTGAAAACAGGTGAAGGTGATTTACTGCTAATCAAGGAACCGGCTTTACTGATTAGATGCGCATAACAATATCGTGCGATATATCGCCCAGCCCTAGTTCAGTTGTACACTAACAGTGCAGTCGATGCTGTTGTTTACATCCGAGTGCCTCCATAATGGCCGCTCATCCGGGTTACCGCCCAGAACGTGACGTCGGTGAAAACCCTCAGATCACTCTGCCAGCCCACCACTGCTAGTCAGCAAGTAGCCTACACTCGCAAACAGAACACTTATCTCAAACAATATATGTATTTAACTGTTCTTACCTATGTAAACATAATGTTGACCTCCTTGCAGCAGATGACTTGTGAAGTGTGCACGTACGAGTGCGCTCTGCGAGAGCGAGCAGAAAGGAAGAGCAGTTCTGTTTTTTGACCACAGGTGTCAGTCGCGAGTCTAAATTTCAGGAAAACGCATGTAGCCTCTTTAAAGTCATATCAAATTATAAATAGTGGTGATGAAAAGTTTTCTTTGTTTTGATCATTATGTGACTTGAGAAGAAGAAGTTGCTGTTTGGTCTGGACTTCCGGTGGATGCTGGTGATCCTGACGGGAGGAGCGAGTTCCCTGCTGGTTCTCTTCATCATCTGTGTCGTCTGTGTCTGTCGCTGCCACGCACGCAACAAGAGGAAGGCCACAAGTAAGCGTTGGCGTGCTTTCAGTCTGTGTTTTGATGTTTTTTGTTCAGTTCATGTTTGAGTTTATGTTCATCCTCTTGTCTGCTAATGGGCTATATGCACGCATAAGTTCCGCATTTGACGTAAGGATGCTCGTCCATTTCCGGTTGTGTAGATTAAAGCGGAGGAAAACCGAGGAAAACGGGATTATGGCAGAGTCTTCAAAATTTACTGTCCTCCCGTCTTTGAAACGAAACGTACATACGTTTAGATGTAATTTTATATATAGTTATGTTTATTTAATATAATTTTAAAAAGAAGCATAAACACAATGTGGGGTGTCTGTTTTATCTGTTTTTGTGACTAACGTTTCATTAGTATAACCATGGAGTATAAAATTCAATATAATATCTCGGTATTGCATTGGACTCTACGATCGGCGCAAGTTATCGAGCATCCCTAATGCTTCACCGAAAATACCGCCGTGCATAGAGCCCATTACGTCAGTTCTCCATTCTGTCCCTGTTTGTCACTATGGTTAATAACTAATTGATTTGAGTTCAGGTGTATCTTGTCGATTATCTTGTTTGCACATTTAAGGGTACATTTACAACGATATGTTTGAAACTGAGAAGTTCCCTTTCAAGGGAACTCGAGCTGCATTCAGACGCAGTGGGAATGCTCAGTCCACATAATCAACATAATCAGTCCAATAGAAGTGCGAAACGTAATAGGTGGTTGACGTCATAGACCAGGAAGCTATAAAGCACCCCCGAATACAGTCTGCGACAGCTTCTGTGCCTTCAGCAAGCGCTCTCTGTATACTGTCCTTGTCCATTTAATGTCTGTCAAAGCACACAATGTATATATTACAAAGAGAAAAAACAAGCAAAGTGTAGGGCTGGGCGATATATCGCACGATATTGTTATGCGCATCTAATCAGTAAAGCCGGTTCCTTGATTAGTAGTAAATCACCTTCACCTGCTTTCAGATGGAGCGGCATTTACTACAAAGAGCCGTAGATCACTGACAAGCTGAGCCATATCGCGTTAATATCGAGGACGTATCGCCAGCGATATTTAATGCGATATGGCTCAGCTGGTCAGGTAACTACGGCTCTTCGTCATGACAAAATCTCCCGTGTTAAATTAACACACCTGGGAGTGTATATGAGTCCACACTCAAGAGTGTTAAAGTTAATGAGATAATTAAGTGATTAAATGAGTGATGATTGAGCATTATTGAAGACACCTAAAGCAGAATCACAAGGAAAAAAATCTAAAATTGTAAGCCACCGTTATGGAGATCAGTGTTTGCTTTAGTTGGGCTCTTGACCCTTATAATATATATATTTATTTTTATTTGCTGTTGCATCTGAGTTATATCTGTCAGATGAACAAATATAAACAATTATACAATGATGTTGGTCATATAATGACATTCATTATTTGATATTTATGACTATAATTTATTTGGTTGGTTAGTGTATAACTGAGATTCTGCATAAATGTCCAGAATGTTAAATATAATTGATGGATTTCTCAAAAGTTGTTAAAAAACAAACAAACAAACCTTTCCTTTAGGCACACACAGACCTCAAGATTCAGTCAATGCTTCTCAACAACGGTGACGAGTAGAATATTCAAGTAGGAAAAGTAAATTGCATAGACAATTCAGATCATAATTTATTCATACCGCAATGCATGATGGGAGCCATTAATGAGTTGTGATTGGTGGCAACAAGGATTAATTTTGTCACCACAATTGAGATACACAGGCTGATTATTGATCTCTGTGTTTCTAAATAAAGATGAGAGTGATTTGATCAGAATATATATTACAAATTTTAAGTTTAACCTCCTAAGACCTGGTTGTCCACAAACGTGGACATCACATTATTGGTTGTGTGTCCAGGGGTCAGAAAGTAAAAGTCCTGCCATAAGTTTATTCCACCCACAGCAAAAACTCCAGTGTTAAATGAACTTTACTGGGAGTTTCTTTGGATCCAGACTCAAGAGTGTTAAAGTTAATGAGATAATTAAGTGAATAATTGAGTGATGATTGGGATATTATTGAAAACACCTGATGTTAACTAGCAGACTCACTGAAGGAGAAAATCTATATTTTTAGTCACCGTTATGGTGATCAGTGTTTGCTTTAGTTGGGCAGGTGACCTTTAAATGCTTTACTAAAGATTTTGTTTAGCTGTTTTAACAGCTGGATGAACAAAGAGATCAGATCAGATGTTGAAGATCATGTTAGGACAATCATCATTAGATCTGAATCATTAAACTCATTTAAAGCCTACTCTCTGATTTAAAAGTACAATGATCATAACAGCATCACTGTGATTTTATAACATTAGATCCAGATTTTTCAAAATAAACCAAATGATATCTTAAACGTTGTTCTGAAAAATAAAAATCTTTCTTTTAGGCACGCACAGACATCAAGATTCAGTGTATGAATCTCAACAATGGTTACAAGCAGAATATTAAAATAGGAAAAGGAAATTACTAAGACAATTCAGATCATTATTTATTCATACCGCAATGCATGATGGGAGCCATGAATGAGTTTTGATTGGTGGCACCCAGAATGAACTGCAACATGCTTTATAATTGTCACCATTGTTGAGAATCACAGGCTGATTCTTGATGTCTGTGTGTGCCCATAAAGTATTTAGAATAGAACAGCTTTTAAGAAATCTTTTGGATAATATTTACATTTTTGAAAATGTTATACTGTGTAATCAAAAAGGTTAAACTCTGCAAATGAGTTTCCTGACAAATGATGATTAGTCAAAACAAAACCAACCTCAGCGCATCAGCTTTCCTTGTTGTTCATCTGGCTGTTATAACTCATGTACAGCAGCCAAACAACATCAACAGTTAATGATTTAAAAGTCAAGAGCCCAACTAAAGCAGACACTGATCTCCATAATGGTGACTTTAAAAATGTGACATTCTCCTTCAGTGATTCTGCTTTAGGTGTCTTCAATAATGCTCAATCATCACTCAATTAATCACTTAATCATCTCATTAACTTTAACACTCTTGAGTCTGGATCCAAAGAGACTCCCAGAAAAGTTAATTTAACACTGGAGTTTTTGCTGTGGGTGGAATAAAAATGTGGCAGTACTTTTACTTTCTGACCCCTGGACTTTTCCACCCAAAACTCGGGTCTTAGGAGGTTAAGAAAAATACAGATATGCAATTCAACCACAAAACTGTTGCTAAAAAATGAAAGCAAATCACCTGAATAGATTTAATTTTATAGAGCAAGCATGATTATGTCAAAACATAATAATGCCCTATCAGATCACAGATTTCTTATTTGCCTGCTATAAATCAATAGCAGCAAACAAACAAAATTTAAAGTGTAAGTATACATACAGTCGGCAACGCGTCATAGTTGGGGGGCGTGGTCGGCGTGGGGGAAAGCAGCATGGTCATCCTATGTATTTGAATGACAAAATATGTCATATTGCGAGTCATTTTTGCCTGCCGACCGGCAACGGTACATTGCAAAATGAACTGTAATAGGTTATGATTGCCCTTATTTAATTAAAAACTGGGTCAATGACCCACCAAATGGCCGGAGGTGTCGTTTCCAGACTATTGTTATCTGGTTGAATCTCCAGGTAAGACATCGCGGAAGCTGCAACACAAGCCTATTACTCAATCAACTTGCGTGTAAGTTACTATAAGTCCATAAAACCATGTCACTTACCAATTGTACGTATGCTTCACTCAAAACTATTAATCCTTTTGTAAAACGGTGATCAGTAGTAGCTACGAAGTTGCAGAGGGACTTTGCTGACAGTTATCCAAATTCTCACAGACTGCAGTCTGATAACCTTCAGCTAATAACGCTAATGTGACTGAGACATCCCTTATGAAAAACAACTAAAGGAAACTTGTAGTATTTTAGGACAAAATATTGTAGTAACGTTAATATTCCTATATGAATACTATAGTATTTTGGGACATAGCCTAGAAGTATAGAGGTATTAAAGAACATCATAGAAGTATTATACACTACTATAGAATACTAATAGCCATAGGATTACTATAGTTCTTTTCCGTAAGGGATGTTAAACATCTACTACTATCACACAGGGACCTCTACTCACACAGTAATCTAATAAGATATGATTAATTTTGCCATTTTGTCCTCCTATCCGGTTCTGTATGTATGTAAGAAAGGCTGTAGAACTTCAATTTATAATTTGTTAGTTTATTGGTGGTACAGAAAACGACACAGCAACTCTTCGGCATGATTGTCAATTCAATGTATTTCAATGAGCGCCAAGGCAATGTTTTCCCCCACGGGCAAAATTCACACCACGTGACGGGGCGTTCCCGGGGGCGTTCCCGGGGGCGTTCCCGGGGGCGTTCCCAGACCAACCGACTGTATCTATAAGTGTCAAGAGCCCAACTAAAGCAGACACTGATCTCCATAACGGTGGCTTACAATTTGTGATTTTGTCCTTCAGCGATTCTGCTTGTGATCATCAGGTGTCTTCAATAATGCTCAATCATCACTAAATTAATCACTTAATTATCTCATTAACTTTAACACTCTTGGGGGTTAATTTAACACTCATATCGTCCATCTGAAAGCAGGTGAAGGTGATTTACTGCTAATCAAGGAACCGGCTTTACTGATTAGATGCGCATAACAATATCATGCGATATATCGCCCAGCCCTAGTACAAAGAGCCGTAGATCACTGACAAGCTGAGCCAAATCGCATTAAAATTGAGGACATATCACCAGCGATATTTAATGCGATATGGCTCAGCTCGTCAGTTAATTACACACTTCGTACACAGCAAAAACTCCAGTGTTAAATTAACACACCTGGGGGTGTACCCCTATCCGTGAGTATCCATAACTGACATAATCCACAGCAAAACTTCTGTGAATAGATACCTTTTTGATTTGCCTCGGGCATTGACTTCGGTTTGTTTTACTCTTCGTGGATGGTTGCTATCAGTGTTGTATAAAGTAGAAGTAG